AGTGCAATGTACTTCCTTGGCACTCCCTTCACAGTCAAACATTGCCATAGAACCTCTCGGTCCACGGAGTCGAAGGCCGCCTTCAAGTCAATAAATATGGCAATTGTTGGACGCCTAAAAGTGTGTCTATGTTCTAGGATCTGTCGGAGAGTGAAGATATGATCTATGCACCCTCTACCTGGCCTAAAGCCCGCCTGATTTTCCCTCGTTTGTTCCTCCCGAGTTCGTCTTAGTCTGTTCATGATTACTGAGCCTAGGATTTTAGAGACTATGTTCGTTAGGCTGATTCCTCTGTGATTATCACATGAGGACTAATCTCCCTTCTTGAATATTGGTATAATAAGTGACTTACTCCAATCTGATGGAACCGTCTCTGATTCCCAGACGTTACCTAGTACCTTAGTTAAACTATATACTAGTATGTCACCCCCATATTTAAACACCTCCGGAATAATTCCGTCGGGTCCTGCCGCTTTGCCTCGTTTCAAATTACAGATAGCTTTGGTGACCTCACTTACAGACGGCGGGCCAGTGTCTATGTCCCATTCGGGTGTGTGGTGGATGGCGGGGAGGCTCAGTGTGGCTGTAGGCAAGTTAAACTGTTCCTCGAAGTGTTCTTTCCAGCGTTCAAGGTGTCTATCCTGAGAGCTAATAAAGGAGCCATTTTTCTCACAGATAGTCTCACTTATGATTTGCCTTCTCCCACCCGTTTCCCTGATGAGTCTAAAGAGTTGCCTATCGCCGATGCTTTTTCCATCTCTTTCGCCTTTTTCAACCACCACTGTTCACGGTCCTTGCGGAGACTTTTCGTAAGTTTCTTTTTGTGCAGCTTTCGCTCCTCATCAAATTCGGAGCTCGCCGGAATAAGTCTTCTAGCATCTATCAGTTCGGATGAGGCAGTCGAAATCCAATGGTTTTTACTCACCTTTGGATTTACCTTATTCACAGCTTTTACAGCTGTATCTATGGCTGACTGAATATTCTTCTAGGCTTCTTCAGGGTGAGCGCAGCTGTCGAACTCAGATATGTGTTTAGCTAGTTCTTCCTCAAATAGGGACTTAGTTTCCTGATCGAGCTGGGGACGTGATGGGTTTACCGCCAGCTGTTTCCTACGTCCATTCAATCGTAAGCACACACGAGCGCGGACCAGTGCGTGATCGGTATCTACACACGTGTTCCAGAAGGAGCGACAATCCCCTACCGACCCACGCCAACGATAGCTTATTGCTATGTGGTCTATTTGTGTCCAGCGTTGGTTTGATGATGGAGGTCGCCAGGTCAAACAGTGTCTCTCCTTGTGTTTGAAGTTAGTGCTTACAAGAAACAAGTGATTATCTGAACAGAACTGTAGGAGACGGTCACCGTTGTCGGTTCGCTGACACGGAATTCCGTATGTGCCACCGACATTCTTCTCAGATTGACACAATTTCCCCACTTGAGCATTAAAGTCACCAGCTAAAACGACTATATCTGAGCGTTTAGCCTTTCGCAGCAAACTAGACAGCTTTTGGTAGAACTCATCCTTCGTTTCATCCGAACTGCAGTCAGTGGGGGCGTAGGCGGAGATTACGAAAAGGCATCGGCGAGTAGTGCAGTCCTTTCTCTTTTTCACTGATCCGTTCAGACGGACAGCACACATTCGGCTGTCTACCGGGATCCAGTCAAGTAATGTCTTTTCTGCCCTAGTACTCAAAGCTATCCCAACACCAGCTAATCCTCGTGAGCTAGCCGTCGCATCTCCTGACACCCTCAAGGTGAATTTCGCAGATTCATCCTGTTGGCCAGGTGGGGTTAGGTGAATAACCACACTTGGGTCCTGTATGCGTGTTTCTGAAACACAACATACATCAATGGCTCGGGATGCCAGAGTCTTGGCTAGTGATGCCTGTTGTCCTATTTGGCAAAGTGTCCTAACATTAAATGCCTCTACATGAAATTGGTGACGTGGCTTTAGGAGACTATCGATGGTGGTTTTTTGGCTTCCGTCGTTTTCAGTGCACACAGAGTGAAGAGGAAGTGAAGAGCCATTAAGTAGAGGAGTTGCATTAGTAGAAGGAAGGCAAGATAATAGAGATGAAGATGAAGACAAAGGTGAGTGAGGATTAGAGAGGTTTCGCGTGCACTTCGGATTGTGAGGGCGATTGTTACTTCCCGGCTGCCCACACCGTGGAAGTTGGTTGCGTGACCGCAGAGCCCAGGGGACAACTGCTTGAGGCCGGTCACACACGGCCTGTTTTTGTTTTTTATTTGGTGTGTCTCAGTAGCGTATTTATCACTTCTGCCCTGTGACACGGCAGCAGAAAGCGCGGTCGTTGTTAATCCGGGCCCCGACCGATCCGGCATGATATTTTGTGATTTATTTGAAGTCATAGGATTGGATTGAGTAACTGCTTTTAGTCTAACCGCTATCCAAACAACTTTTCTGGCATGGTAGAACCTGCAGGAACATAAGTTCCAGCCAGTATAGCTTGTTGGGTCATTGCGGTGTTCAAGCCCGACCACCACGTCGAGGTAGAAGCTTTCGGTCGGGGTATGATCACGATGTAGTTTAATTACAATACACCGGTGTGTACTGATGCGATGATTGCCTTTATCATTAATTTTGAGAATATTAGGCTTTGTATTTAGAAATCCGCTGTTTATTAGCTTAAAATACGATAGACGACATAAGTAAAAAGGGTAATATTTAAAATATGTGTGCACATCTATTCACTTTAGCCAACGTATATTATATTCATAGCTTATTCAGTACACAAGAAGGAGAATAAATTCTTTTATATTCACTTAAAGGTGTTCATATCTTTCTGGTTGAGAAAGGTGAGCATTTCCAATATAGAATACGCCCAAAAGAAAAATAATTAGTATAATTAACTTCAAATCAATATTTGCATTGGTAATTTTAACTACAAGCCACACCTTATATTTGAAAGTAGATGATGCTAGTAAATCGAATCGAGTTGAATTACTTTCAACTGTAGGATAATGGATAAAAATTGTGGTGAAGATGATTAGGTGAGATTTTGAAAATATGATGTAGAGAAAACGTGGATCTTTAATACAAAACAGAACCCAAGTTGTAGGTGTAGACTTCGGTCATTATTAATAACGAATTATCAATTAGCACTTTCTAGTTCAGATTCCAAATATCCGCTTCAACATTTAAACCATTATTTTTAACTATCTTTATTTCATTTGTATTTAATAAGACTATTTGATAGGACACATAGTGATGTAGTATCAATAACTGGATAGAGTTATGAGCACAATTTATTGTTCACCTTCATATCAATGTATTCACACACCTTCCCAATTAGCTCTATATATTCTTAACACTTCTGTTATTCACCGTAGTCTTCCTGATATCCGGTATAAAGAGGGGGAGAATATATAAGGCAGATTGGGAAGGCGTGTGGATACATCGAAGTGATTATGAGCAATAAACTGGACCACCGTGTTACACAAAATACAAGTTTATATTCTACCACAGCGCCCAAATTCTACAATACGACAACTTAATTTAACGTAGAGAGGGAAAGAGTCCAGAATCTTATCATTAATGCGTATAAATTTAGTCTTTCCTTGCTTTTCTCAAATGATGAATTGGTAGTAAATCAAAAGTAATTTCACTGAGTGAGTTGAATATTCAGTAATGCTTTCGAAAAGTGCCAATTTAGTTTTCTCTTTACAGCCTTCCACTGTACTTATATTTCAACCTAAAATCTAGATTTTTCCATTTTGATGTGGTTGTGTTCTCTGAGCTGGATAGTTAATTTGCGAAGCTGTCATCACCCTATTAGGTGACATCTCCAGCGCATACTTCAATTTAAAGTGAGCTTTTAGATTTCTCCACGAGTTTATTAATCATCTCTCCCGGTGACCTTGGACGTGATTGGTTGTTTTTGTGTTTTCACACCTTCTAGGTTACTTGTATTGGAATTGATTGTTTCTTTGACCCTATGTGCGTGAAGTTTCTTTTTTATCGGTTGATAAATTTTGTCAATCTCGATGTGTCTATTGACTGATGATTCACTGGAATGCCAAGCTTCTAAAAATTCTCTAACATTCTTGCTGTTTCCTCTGTCCAATATTTGAACATTGTCCCAATTGAATTGGTGCCCGTGGTTGTCTGTATGTAGTGATATGAGGGAGTGGATGTCATGTCTTTTGACGCTCCTTTCGTCTTCATATCTACGAACATAAGCTAACACGTCCAAGGTCACCGGGAGAGATGATTGATAAACTCGTGGAGAAATCTAAAAGCTCACTTTAAATTGAAGTATGCGCTGGAGATGTCACCTAATAGGGTGATGACAGCTTCGCAAATTAACTATCCAGCTCAGAGAACACAACCACATCAAAATCACCCACCTGAGCTACAAATTTTCTCCATCATATCTAGATTTTTCCATTCCTATTTGTTCAGAGTAGAAAATAGGGCTTAAAGCTTGAGTGGCGATGATCTTTTTACGGGGTGATGTTGCTAGCCTCACGCTAAACTTTCCCTCTTTGCTAGGCTTATTGCCGCCTAAGCTAATTTTAGAAGTACGTCAACCTGGAACTAGACGTAGGTACTTTGCATGGTTGGAATGGATTCTACCATTGAGTCACCGACGCACATAATGATACACCCACTGAAGAGGTATTTATGCAATGGTTTGTCTTCATCATTCCTACTATAACTTATGAAGATAAATTGGCTTATTTAACGTTTTTTGCAAGATATTAGTGTGTGAAGTTAGATAAGAGTCACCACAATACATGCATAACTGGATTTCAACTTGAAACCACGGCCACTTACTTAAAACTACCAATGAAACCTCAAGAGTAACTAAGCTGAAAAGGATATCTTGGAAGCGAGATAACAACCTTTTTTAATTTAGATTTATCTGTATAGGATAATGTACTCTTATTAAATTAGATGAGACAAACGAACGAAACCCTAAGTAGGATGCACGCCCATATCTTTTATGCAACCTTTCTGTATTTAAAAAGCCCGAATTTTTCCTTGAACAAATATATTTTAATTTATTTTTAAAAACCTTTATTCCAAAATATCCACGTACACTATACACAGACACACGCGACCAGTGCTAAGATGAAGACAAAAAAGCATTTTTCAAGTGTATAACAAATGCGTAAGTTTTGTTATGAAACTAATCTGAACAGTGAAGTATGACTAACATGCAGTAGTGATATTTATATTTAAAAGGATAATCGATAATTGGAACATTTTCAAGCATTTGGATTGCAAAAATTCCATTGTTCAACTAAAATGTACAAAGAGAAATAAATATCAGTGTTATTATTTATAGGTAGTCTAATTGTTAATAAACAAATGAAAGAAAAATAAAGGATGCAACTGTTTGCCCTAAATTTAATTGATATGCGTATTTAACGAGTTACTGAAACATCTGAAAAACTCAGTACGATAACACCCTCAGTAGGAAAAGAATCAATGAGTACTAGTGAAAGAATCTCTAGTTGATTTATGGAATAAGGTTCGACAATTTGTCGCGTTTTCATCCCCTAGATAGATTGCAAAAGCGTATTCCCGCAAAGCCATTTTATTTTTGATCCAAAGTATAAATAAAGCCGTAAAGAACAGTTTAGCAACATCATAGTAAAGTTGAGGTAAAATTCAAAGTGTAAAACACTATGATACTATAATCATATCAAGTGCTCATAAATGGTGAGAGCTATTTAAAAAAAATAAATATGTTTAATGCATGTGTCTTAACATCAGGAGACCCAAGAAATATCAAACAGCTTGCAAACATTCGGACAGAAACATAAAGTGCGAGCAGATGATTTAATTCAATTATAGATTTTTCCGTCAATTGATTGGACCGAAGTGCTCGGTCTCAGGTTGACAAGTCAAACCTCCTTGCGCAGGGTGGTTCGACGATGTGTGGTCATGTAACTAGCAGTACATCCTGGATTCCACTGCTAGTTACCATCCAACAATTAACTTCTTGTGAACAGATGAATTTACTCTAATCTTGTTGATAAAAACCATTTTCTGCCTTCAGATCATTGCTACTATTTTAACGATTTCATTTAGGTGAGCTCCCTTTCTCTCTTTCTCTGTTATTACTTTTACAGTAGGTCTTTATCACTGTTTTACAAAATATTAATTACGCAATGATCTGCTGCTTATTTTAAAAAAATGACTATAAGAATCCGGAGGACCCGAATCGAACAGTCTACCCCTTTCTACGTGGCGAAAACCAACGATCAAAGACTTCATGGATTGATGCCACGTTTTGCTTTGTTCACGCCTAACTCTTTTCCAACCCAACCCTGTATCAGAAAACATTGCTCCATAAGGAAGGCAGCGGCTGTTCGTGCACGAAACATATCCCTTTTTTACTTAAGCACTCTATGCCTAACCTCAATATCACTCATCATATTATACCAGTTAACTCGGGATATAGAATGTAAACATATGTCGTCAAAAGCAACTATGCCTTTCACATCTTCCACCTTTAATGACCATATCTGACTGAGTATTATAAAATTTATTATATTTATCTGTTTCTTGACACTTTACGGAAAATGCGTCAAGAGTGAAACTTTACCATACAGCTTCCAGAGATCTATTATCTCGTGTGACTTAGAAAGTTATATAAATTCATCTAAAAGTAACCTATACGTTGGCAAAGATTGACAATTTGTTAGTAGAAAACAAGTAAAACTCACTAGCTTTGTTCGTTGGTTCACTTCCACGTTTAAATTCCTCATACTTTTGTAGAGCATTAGTAAAATCTTCTTTTGATACCATGTAAGGACTTCCTTTCACGGTGACGTTAGCTCTAATCATCGAAATAACAAACATGTGATGCGGTTAGTAGGAAATATAACTATCTTAAAAAGCCTACGCAAAACTACAAGTGTAGAGATTAAGATTATTAATTACACCCTTGAATTTTGACGAAAACGCAAAGCCTATGGATTCGAATAAATATCTAGCCTAGTAACGCACACAGACACATTGTCTTATTGGGCGACTGGCACAACAATAAGAACATGTAGACTACTTCACAACAACTTATTGAGTGGATACACGGTGAAGGATTTCCCGCCCTTTTGGAAGACTCCGACTATGCACAAATGTTTGTAGAGCTGCACGCTGACTACAGAATGAACTTTAGGACAAGAGACGCTAAAGCACTCTTATGTTTAACTTATCAATAAAATGTCACTAATGAGTATGGCAGCAATACAATGTACTGCACAAATTAAGATGAAAATAGTTGGTAAACTGTATTAAAGACGCTGTAGTTTTAAAGTGACCGAAACAAGGGAAGTGATAACACGACAAAAAGCGATAACTCTTTATATGCTAACTGCTTCAAAATATTTGCCAGCAATATTGCATTTTGAAAGTAAATAAAAGCAGATATGAAAGCCAACTTCAACTTATTAACTAGCTCACATATTATCCAGCCGGTCCCACCTCCGGATAATGAGGGAGGGTTGGGCGTGTGGCTAGCGACCCCACACCACTAAACCTATCAAACACTAGAGAAACTTCAACGTACAGAAAAATATTACAAACACAAAAAATCCAAATAACAATCTTATTCTTCTCTGGAATCAGAGGGGCGAAATAACACAGTGCGCTAGGGAAAGCTTTCGGGAAGCCAGTCAGTCAGCCGATGTGTCGTCTCTCTCTCGATGGAAGCAAGAATAAGAAACGGGGTTGTGGAATGTCCGTACAATGTACGAGACTGTCTAGGAATGCTGCCCAGGTGGCCAAAGAAATGCGAAGATATGGCATAGAAGCACATGGAATGGATGTGGACCGTCAAAATTGTCAACTGGAGAGTCAGTTATCTACTCCGGTCACCTAGACGACAACACGAGCACACTGAGGCATTGAGTGGCTATCATGATGTCACCAAGGGCAGTCAGAGTTCTCGTGTAGTGGAAGCCAATCTCCTTATCTGGGATCACGACAGCAAGATACAACTCAAAAGGATGGAAGGAAGGTCACAACTATCCAATGCTATCCACAGTGCTACAAACAACGCGGAACAAACGGTAATGTGCAACATCCCGAATGGTGACATCAAAATCCTCATGGACGATAGGAATGCTAACCGAACCGCCAGCAGATAATATGGGAAGAGAACTCACCATGGGTCAGCAGGCTCTTGCTCGGGAAATCAATGAGAACGGAGAATTATTCGCAGACTTCTGGCCTTTCAATGATTTGGAAAATAGGAGGGAGCGCGTGCAAACACAAGGATATACACAAAGCAACATGGATTTCGCCTGACGGACACACCACAAACCAGATAGACTTTATCTCAATGCTGCTCAAGGAAGTGGAGACGCAGCCAGTCTGCTGGACACATAGTCGAGAAAGGGAGCAGATGTGAGATCAGACCATCATCTTGTTCAAGGAACCTTCAAGGTGAGTTTGAAATCCTTCAGAACAACTGGAGACAGGCCACAGTAATTGAAGTTCAACATTTAGAAAGTGAGGGACAAAACTACAAGGGGTGCCTTCGCTACAGATCAGCTCAGAGCAAAGTCGGAGATACCACGTGGCATAACTGAGGACACTTGCGCAGAAGAACATTGGAACTCTCTGAAGGCAATATTCGAGGAAACGTGTACACCTGTTCTAGAAAGAAGGAAGAGACAAGACATGGAGTGTCTCACAACGGATACCTGGAACCTAGTAGAAAAGAGGAGAGGATGGTGAGGGAGAAGATGACTCAATGCAAAGATGGGCAACAGAAGGTGAAGTTGAGTTCAATGCACACTGGACTGAATAAAGGAGTGAAGAAGAGTTCTAGAAAGGACAAGAGACGATTCTACGACACACTGGTTAGTGGCAACTGCAGCAGAACAGGCAGGACGCAGGTAAAATACACCTCAAGCCATTATATCAGATAACAAAGTCTCTATCCAGGAAGAGAGAGATGATGAAACCAATAAAAGATATTCGTGGAACCCGATTACCAAGGAGAAGAAACAAATAAAGCAATGGGCTGATCACTTCAAAGGATTCTTGAATCGACCATCACCTTCAACTTGCCAAAAATACATCACCACCAACAGCGTGCACAGGACTGCCTGCCAGCAGACATCAATCCTCCAACGAAAGCAGAAATCTTGAATGCGACTAGTCCACTAAAGTTCAGTCAGGAAGGCAGCAGAAGCAGTCGGAATTTCCCCTGCCCTCGAAGCCCTTAAAACCGACTCAGAGACTGCAGTAGACGTTCTAACGCCATTATTGTAAAAGGTTTGGAAAGAAGGAAATGTATCTACTGACTGGAAGAAAGGCTGACTACCTTGTCAAGCTACCACAGAAGGGCGACTTATGTCTCACTCTGCAAAAACTGACTGGCGTGGAATAGTGTTCTTGTCCACGCCAAGTAAAATACTAAGTCGTATCATCTTGCAGAGAATAAAAGATACAATGGATACAGAAGTCCACCAGCTCGGAACAACCTGGATTCAGGAAAGGCGAATCATGTGCTGATCAAATCGCAACTCTGCGCCTCGTCATCGAACAAAGCATAGAATGGCAGTCAAACATCTCTCCACCTCAACTTCATCGACTTCGAAAGGGCCTTCGACAAGACCTTTGGCAGCGTTGACCGAGACGTAATTTGGAAACTACTTCAACACTATGGCATGCAGCACCCAACTCTTTATCAACCTCATTCGACTACTGGCTATATGACAATGCTGCGTGTCAGTCAGGTGATCCACAACGGAAAACTCAGCGAGGCGTTCGAAGTGCATACAGAGGCAAGACAATGCTACCTATTATCACCGATGGCATCCTTCACTGTGGTGGACCGGATTATGGGTCAGATCGTCGGGAGCGAGGAGACAGGAATACGTTGGACCACTGATAAGAAGACTCTAGAAGATCTGGATTTCTCAGATGATATATGTCTAATGTTATACAAACTCAAAGACTTACAGGCGAAAACCAACAAACTGTCTGAAGAGGCAGCGATAACAGGACTGCAGGTGAACATAAAGAAGACGAGGACGGAGGTGATGAAGATAACTAACCAACAGCAACAAAAACCAGCACAAATCGCTATCAACGGGAGAGATTTAACAGAGGTTACTGATATAAAACTTGGACACTGTGGTAGAGTATAACTCCATAATGGTTAAGATTTTATTTTGATAAATCACGCAGTGTTGTACAGTTATATTAACTGATGACGTTTCGAGCACAAACTATTGCTCATAATCATATCATATCACCTTGATATGATTATGAGCAATAGTTTGTGCTCGAAACGTCATCAGTTAATATAACTGTACAACACTGCGTGATTTATCAAAATAAAATCTTAACCATTATGGAGTTAACAGAGGTTACCTCCTTCACTTATCCAGCCAGGAAGGATCGTTTCAACTACAGGCAGTCGGAACGGATGAAGATGTCAAAGTCAGAATCTGGAAGGCAAGATACGCCTTCATCAACCTGAAACCAGTTTGAAAATCGTTTGCGCTCCATCTCAGCATTAGAACAAGATTCGAATTTTCAACAATAATGTCAAGTTGGTCCTTCTGTATGGGTCAGAAATTTGCACTGCGTGTAACGAAAAGGATTTCCAACAGGTTGCAGACTTTCATCAACAGCTGACTTTGCTGGCTCCATAATGAAGAACTAATTGCCAGCCGGCCAGAAAGAATTAGCAACAAGAAAATGTGGTAACAAACTAACCAGGAGCCTAATGATAGGGAAATATGTGGGATAAAATGGAAGTGGACCAGACGTACATTGAGGAGACCATCGAATGAGATCACGCCCAGCGCCAACCATCACTCCAGCGTAATTCAAATGGGAAGCGACAGGTCGGTCGTCCCAGAGTGAAATGGAGAAAATTGTGCGCAGAGGACTTGAGAGATTACTGTCAATCGTAGACCTAGCTGAAGAGGACGACAGGAGACAGAACGAAGCGGAGATATGTTGTTGAAGCCCTATGTCCCACTGGGAACCCAAGGGAATCATAATAATAATACCCAACTAATCAAATTTATTAAGGATAAGCTCCACGAGAACACTATAGTAAGTGGTCTGATCATTTGTAATAATAAAATTTTTACAACCCCTTAAGAGACATGGCTACAGCGTTTTACAGGACACTTTTTAGAGTACTTCGATAATCTCATTGAATTTCAAACTGATTTATACCTACATATGATTCCTAAAACTCCTATATTTGAAGTTACGAAAGCTACTTACAATCCAAAATGAGGAAACGCAGCAGAATCTGATAGTTTACCTCAAGCGTTTAAAGGTTGTAGAATTCAGCTATTGGCCAAACTAATTCAGTTACTAGTTATGGTACAAGAGTTAGAGATAGTTCCATAAAATCGTTAATCCTACATTATAAGCAAGCATACTAATGTTCTTATAATAATCATAGAGAAATCAATTTGATTGGTATAATATCTAAGATCTCAGGATCCAGCTGAAGTTGGACGTGGAGTAAACAAGTCTGATAAAACCCAGCAGGATTTAGACAAGGGTGCATTGATCATAAGGAAATTTCGCACTTAAGGGTAAGAAAATGAGTGGATTTGCACAAAAAAAGGAAAGCTTTAAGTGGAAATGATAGTTAAATCCTCAAATATCAGCTTGTAATGAAATACTATGCCAACTGTTTTTGAGTTAGTTCGATCTATCAACTGTTTATTTGTTTTCGTCTTTCTATCATGCTTCTTACTTTGAACACCTGTGTATTTGAGGTTCAAAGTAATTAAAAATACTAGAAAATCCAAAATTGGTTTTACTAACCGTACAATAGTGCTAGCCTGAACTTTAGTAGACATCAACTTTTGCCATTGTTCATGAGTTTGGGAGATAATTTTTGTAGCGAAATCCTTGGTTGGAAAGAAAATGAAACATAAGAATAAGAGTCATGCAAACGTTGAAAAAACCTTTAAATCTATTTAGATAGAAACAAATGTTGCTTATATTTATGTTATAGAAAAGTTAATAAATGTGGGTTTCTACAGTGAAACAACTCTGCATGTACTCATAAAATATCATTCTACATTAGTGCATGCTTAAATAAATAGTGCATAACATTAAACTGATCACTTTATCTGCTTTAGATGAATTGTGAAGGCAAGATATTACTATGGCCTATTTTAGAAACTATTATGTGGCTCGTTGGATCAAATGCACGGGTTGGATCTGGCACTGAGATACCTCTCTACTTACTGAATACTGGCATTTAATTGATATTCGTTCGTCTTTATACAATAAAAGCGCTTCGTTGTTTGGTACAGAAAAAGTAGTTTTTGAGTAACCAACTTCTAAGGATGACCAAACAATATTCAACCTCAGTAAAATGACAAGGAAAAACATCGGTTTCAGTAATCCCTAACAAATCCTCATACAAACAACGTCAAAGGAACTTTTGCAATTTCCACTAATTTATTTTACTTATTATGACTGTTTCGATGTGGATACAATTACTTTTATATGGCGACAAATTCTGTGAAAGTTACGTGGTGTCTGATTTTTTCTACATCTTAAAATTAAATGGGTTCTAATGTTGGAATATTGGTAGCAATACACTTATTAAACTCAAAACAAATTCAACTGAAATAAACGTTTCCCAAAACTGAATGTGTGTCGACAGTTGCACCCGGCTCTCCACTGTGGTTTACATTTTATTTACGTTTCCCATCAAAGGAAAATATTTTCCAAGTCCGTAATAAGAGCAAACTAATAGATTATTAGACAAGACAGTTCACAAGCAGAAATCGTAGTCTTTATTTGAAACGTTTTTATTTTATTTAGCTTAAGTAAATGAACGAAAAAGCATCATACAACGTTAAACGTTATTCAAACTACAAATATTTTATTTTACATTAATTAATTTGTGTTGCCATACTCTCTGAAGCAAATAACTAAGTACAGGATTGACGGTTACCTTTATGAAACACAAACTGTTGCAACAATAACTTATTTTGAAACAACTCTCATTTAATGACTACACTTCAGACAACTAAAACAATTAACAAAATACACGTCTATATGCAATTAGTTTATACACGACATATATAGAATCAAAGGCGCACTACTCAACAACGAAATACGTTTATGCAAGTAGCGATGAGGCATATCTGATAGTACTACATGACTACCCAAATCTTGGTAGGTGAAGCAGAGTTCATAGTCCTAGTTCATCATATATATATATATATATATATATATATATTACCTGGCCTTTATAAGGAATGAAGTTATTGGTTTACAGAAACAACTTATACAGCTCGGTGAGCATTATCCTAAATTTGTAACCAAAGATTTTTGTGTTGTATGGTTAGGCACGTTACTTTTTGCTACTGGGTTTCAGATTTACAATCTAATACATTTACTTCAATATTAACAACCTCATAGTATCATAAGAAATATACACATGTAATAAATAGTCTAATTTACGGAGAAGTATTCACTTGTTAACTTGCTAGTCATTAATTTGTTTCACAGACTAACAAATTATGTAGTTTTCAGTATGGTTGAAAGTTTGGGATGTAGACTTTATGGATTGATGCTGCTTTCGACATATTCACCAAGTTTAAATTTCAACTGCTTCACATTATATACACTGAACACTACTAGCTTCTAAATAATCACTGAATAGAACCGAAGTAACGGAACAACATACACCAAACATTACATGACTTCGTAATAATCAAGAAACACTAGTGAAACAAAAAACATTTAAGTTTAGAATGAATACGATGGCAACGGTATACTAAGACTCAATGGTAACAAAATAACTGCCCAAGTTGATGATGTATCTATTGTTATCTTTAAACAAAGCAAGAATACAGTAAACGACAATATGCTGTCGTTATATTAAAGGAAAAAATCACGCTAATATATTATAGCATAGTGTACAGTTAAGAAATGAAACCAATATGCTTACTTTATTCTGAAATTCTCCATTAAAGGCAAATGCATTTTCTGGTTTTCCAGCGGGCACTTTGTAGTACTTGAACCAGTCTCTTGTCGCCTAAAATCACAGTTACACAATGAAATTTTTTTATAAAGTCTTATGAACAAGGTGTGTTCTTTAAAAAATATTCTAAGGACAATCTCAAGTGCCAAGAGATTATTATCCACACAAAATTTACCTTCAAGCATACCATTTATATCTCAAATAGACTCACCAATGCAAGCCTTCATAAATCACTACGCCTTCAAAAAACTAACATAACTAAACAAAACTAACCTTCAAAAGTCCTGGCATATGTATATCTACATCCTTAATATCTTAATGAGGTAAAAATAAAATAAATTTGCACAAACCATTCAGTTTCTCAGCCATTGGATCAGCTACATTGATGACTATAACCTTCCAGTCAGTTTCACCTAAAAATTGAAAATTTATATTTCCATAATTCCAGATTTTATAGAAGGCACTAATGGACATCAAGAAAAGTGATAGGGCGGCAAAAAATTTTGAAATATGTGTACAAACAATGGCTTAGTGCGATGGTATCGCTGCTTTTATACAAAACCACATCAGACATCATGTATACTAACACATTTTAGCAATGACTCAACCAATTTCACACCCCAAGGTCGAAATAACAGAAGGCCTACAACTGTCGGCTTTTTGAAGTAATAGCTGCAAAACAGAATCAAGTGACTAAAAACATCTTACTGGACTTTGAGTACAGTGAATATGTGATGAGTCAGGTGATGCTGAAATGTTGTCCCAGCAGTAAGAAATACAGAATAATTAACGTTTGTCTCAGGACAAAAATTTACAGACTGAATCAACTGTTGTAAACTACATCTTTTAGGATGTTTGAAATAAAGCTGTTGGATTACTAGAAACTAGTTATCAATATCAGTGAGTTACGTTTCAAATTAATTTGTAAGGAAAACAACTAGAATTCGTAGAAAAGTGCTAATTCACTCTTAAAGTTAGTGTTGCAATTTAATTTTAGTATAATCATTTACTTTGAAGTTCTAAAAATGGCTAAATAATCGTTATTCCAGGTAAGTGTTAGTACTTGAATTCTCGTCTACTTCAGAAGCGTATTATGCACCGGTATTACTTTTCTTTTGGTGAGAACTACTATTAAATACAACTCATTATTTGCTAATTACACAGTTCAAGGTAGAGTTTCACTATGATTTTATACCGTGTGGTTATTTTGAGGTCAGAAATTCGATCAAAATGGCTCCGGCGACCAGTAAAAGATGTATGTGTCGTCAGAAATCTATGCCAATTAGCTATACTGTTTCGATATTATTCGCCTTTCTCAAATGCACTACTTTAGATATATAGCTGATGTGACAAATCGGTGTTACCTGTTCGTATCTTTATTCTGCTAGTACATACCAATGATCCAAGTGAGTGGTTTCCTAGTAACTACACATCATAAGAATACACCAAGTAGCATACAGATTTTATAAACCGTTATTGGTAGCTCCATTAGAAGAAGTAGATGAAAAACAACAGTTGAGGAGCCGAAAAAGGAAGAAAATGCAGAAGACGATTACTGACTTCTATGAAATCTATTTCATCATGTTGAAATAAAGACTATCGATCCCGTAGGGTTAAGGTGATTCGTATCAATGGGCTTTTACGAGTGAAATAATAACAAGATGACGAGTTAACTGAAAACTAACCTTCATCAATCATGGCCAATATACCCAATACTTTGACAGGTATCACTGACCCACAAGGCCAAATCTTAGAACCGATTTCGCAAACATCAACAGGATCATTATCTCCCTTAGCTTGGGTGTTGTCATCCACATGACTTGGATCTTCCCAGGTTTGAGGTAGGGCACCATAATTCCAAATGTAACCTTTGTGTGGGAATACATTATCTACATAGCGTAATTGGTTATTCTTGACATCTTGTTTGATAGGATTCATGAACTCTTCTTTGCAGATTTCCATTTTAGCATTTGTCCAACGGGGGATTTCAACAACCATATTGTAGCAGTTATTAGATACGTTTGACAACAGAGGGACGTCATGGAAATATGATATCGGAGAACCTTCATGAGCTTTAAAAAAAGAAAACCCATTTATCAAATGATACGGAGATCATAATTAAATGGCTAAGGTACATTGCAGTTAATCACGACACTGCATTACATAACATTAGCTAACTAAAAGGCTGCATGACAAGATTAGAAACTGTGGCAATCTGCAAACAATATCTCTGATGCCAGACCGGTGTGTTGCTTTCTAGTAGAAACAACTGCACAGCATGCATGAATGTAAAGATCTAGCGACACCCACCCAGCGAAAGCCTCACGTCCACTGCAGAGACTTCAAGTGACCATGTTATTATCCGACACTAAATCATTTTCTGCAGTGCATCTGACGTGGAGCACGACGTTTTACTCACTTTTCCTGAGTTGTGAAGTCAGTGCCAGTTGGGAATTGGAATTCCAATTTCGTTAACGCACCTGGGTAAAGTGGACAAAACGTGGGATAAGTGGGTAATTTTGATAGGCAAACAGGTGGGCAAAAGATGGTGTATATGCAACCAAATTTACCCACTTTTTTCCCGTTTTCCCACTTTAAACGAACAGTTTACCTACTTTATCCCCGTTTGCCAACACTTTCAACGAACAGTTCAGAAAATAGCCCACTTTTTCCACTCTAGCCACGTTTCAGATTCAGATTCGGTTGATAAGGATAGAAGGCTCTTGTGGCCTGTGTTAATCCTTGCAAAATATATCTCTGCAGAGATCTAACTTCTCTTTGAAAGCGTTCACCGATGGAGCTGTTACTACTGAATCAGGTAAGGAGTTCCAGTCGTTGACCACTCTGTGAGAGAATCTAAATTCTGCACGTATTTTAATCGTCCTCGGTTTGAGCACCTTTTTGCGGTGACCCCATGAATGTATCCTAGAAGCACAGAAAAGTTTAGAAAGGTCAGTTCCTAAATCACCCTTAAGCATACGGTATGCTAAAATTAAGTCGCCTCTCTTCCTTCGGTATGATAACGGAAAGAGGTTTAAATGCTCCATCCTCTTATCATAAGGAAGGTGTGAGACACCACTAACTAATTTCGTTCGTACTCTCTGTACTCTTTCCAGGATATATGCCTCCTTTTTGAAGCATGGACCCGCCGCTTGTACGCAGTATTCTAGATGAGGCCTGACATATGTTGCGTAGAGTATTTAGCACATGCCCTCATCTAGTCGTTTGAAAGCCCTACGGAGTGCCCATAGCATTCGAAAAGCCTTAGCTGCAGCTGCATTGCAGTTGTTTTTAAATCATTGCTGACAACGATTCCTAGGTCCTTCTGTTCCTTAACATCAGGTAGTTGTAATCCCTAAACCACTCACAAAGGCATTGGTCTAGTCCGAAACCTTTAAGTTTACTAAGGAGACCTAAGTGGGATACTTTGTCGAATGCCTTGCTAAGATCAATAAAAACCACGTCTAACAGAAGGTTTTTATCTCTGGCCTTGACCCAATCTTCCCTAGCTAACAGTAAGTTTGTCAAGCAGGATCGTCCTGGTCGGAATCCATGCTGTTCAACTGCCAGTAAGCCATGTGTTTCAACATAAGCTAATAGCTGATCCCTTATAATAGTTTCCGTTACCTTTGCTATAATGCATGTCAGACTTACCGGCCTGCAGTTAGATACCAATTGCCTGTCCCCCTCTTTGAATATAGGGCTTATAATGGCATCCTTCCAGTCCCTGGGCAGCTTAGCCTGGGACAGTGACATTTGGAAAATCTCCGCAAGCGGGATATATATTATATCCGCCAAGGAAATTAACAGTTTAGGGTGAAGTCCATCAGGCCCAGGTGATTTACCTGGCTTCAGTTTAGACAGTAGTTTGAGGACTTTTGTGTGCTCTACCACAATTGAGGGCATCTGAGTGGCGATGGCAGTGACCTCGCCATATCCCTGGGTGGTACTATCAGACGAGAAGACGTCACAGAAGTATTCAGAGAGGTTTTCAGCCTTTCCTTCGTCTGACTTAGCCGTTTCTCCACCAATGCTAATGAGTGACGGTATACCATTGCTAGTTTTAGTCTTACGTTTAATATACGAGAAGAGCCTTTTTGGGTAATGGACACTATCTAGTACAAGTCGTCTCTCATATTCTATACGACTCTTGTTAATCGCATACTTACAGAGATTTCGAATTTTGCGGTAGTCTTTCTGGATACTTTCCCTTCCTGTCATAATAAATTGGTCCCATAAGTTCTTTCGCCGCCTTAATAGCCTCCTTATTTCACTAGTAATCCAAGGTGGCTTGTGCGATAGCTTTCGAGGAGTGTACCAAGGTATAAAAGGTGAAGTGACACAATCTAGTGTATTTCTAAATCCTACCCAAGCTTCCTCGACAGTCCGACTTGTATCTACTGACCAATCAACTGCAGTTGCTGCGTTCCGGATTCCTTGTATATCCGCTTTCCAAATGTTTGGACGAGCAGATTTTGACCTGTGTATGAGAGAATGAATCTTAAACGTAAAAGCAATGACTATGTGGTCACTGCTGCCAAGCGGCGGAAGGCACCTAATGTCACCAACGTCCTCCTTCTGGTGTGTTAATACCAAGTCTAGAGTAGATGGATCATGTTCCGCGTGATACCGTGTTGGTGCATGCATATGTTGCACGAGTGCACATTCAAGCACTGTCAATGTGAACTCCCTATTGAGACAGGTATACAAACTAGTGGAGTTTAATTCCCCCCAGTTAATGTGGGGAGCATTAAATTCGCCAACAACCAGACACCTATTTCTACTACCCCACGCCCTCAAGTGATTTAGAACGAAGTCATCAGCTTGGCTAGCAGGACTTCTGTAAATAACTCCAATCGTTGAAGTGCCTTTGCTCAGATTAATAACGCAACTTGCAGCCTCACTGGTGCCGCTGTCATGAGCTTCTGATAACGTTGACCTAATCCCTATGTCATCGCGGATGTATAGAGCAACCCCGCCAACTTTCCGACTACTTACTCTATCTGCTCGAATGCAGATGTACCCAGGTATGAGTGGAGTTAAGTCTACACCCACTAAGAACCATGTCTCAGTGATAGTAATCACATCAGGTTGTAGTCTTTCAGATAATTCTCCTAATTCGGCGAGCTTATTCCTAAAACTACACGCGTTCGTATAACACACCGAGACACCTACGTGTTCATCCGGCTTACGAAGAGAGGTCTCGGTAACATCGGTTTCCGAGACCTCACCACCCGAAAACCCAATATCTTGAGGTCTTTTTCACCTTTCACGTTACAAACGAAAACAGCCCACCTTTTCCCACTTTGCCCAAATTTGAACGGAAAACTGCCCACGGTTTTACCCACATATTCCAGGTCTAAAAGAAAAGTAACCGACTGGGAAAGCCCCGTCTTGATGTCAATTTGGGTCACTAGAATGCTGCTTTTGAGCATTATTACACAGAAAAGTTTATTCAGAAGTACAAGTAGCATAATTAATTACATTCACACAACTTACCTAAGAACATTCGGTAAGACGTTGTATTGGACGTCCCACGTTCAATCTGCATACTGGAATGCATGACAACGCTGTAGAACGGAAACTTCACGCTGCGAAATAGACTTCTGAACATCCCGCCATTTTCAACGACCTAGAATATCATGTATTCAAAGTCCTCACATTCAGCTTAATTAACCATTTATAGCACAAAATTAAGAGCTTTTCCAAAATATCAAAAAACAGCTTCGGCTCCGTAATCATGGAATGAGTGCAGATGAAGGTAATCAACTACAAATATTCATTGTGAGCAAAACAATCTGAACAGCTCCTCGGGTTTACTTATAGATCACAATTTCTCGCCCAATAATTCCTTAATATGACTATCAAATTTTACCTCATGAATAGAGCCACCCTGTGCTATTCTCATTAAGTCATACAGCCGACTGATGATTTTATAGAAGGTATTGGGTACAGTGCTGACCTTAGTCATAGTCCCCTGAAATGTAGACTTCGCACCCACTTCAAGTTTGAGAACACTGTTCATCTTGGCTGTAAGTGGCAACTTCGGATCACTCTGGGGGCAGTTAATCATTTTAGCAAGCCACAAAAAAGAGAATTAAATACGCGAACTCACAAATATCCCCCTATAGTTATCATCTCTTGAAGATACCCCTAGTATCTCTAGATAATCTCCATTCTCAATCGGAAATCCCAGAGTGTAGTCATCGTTTACTGAAAGGTGAGTCTGCCATCGAGATCTGTTGCTGATACTAATAATGTTTAAGATTTCCGAACACAAGTTGACGAGTTCCATTGACGCATCTTCAAATAAATAATTAATTCAAGAACTCACCCAGTCCTTTCTTAATGTTTAGGGAATTAGTGGCAGATTCGGTAGGCGGAAGTCTGAAGCAAGTATGCAAGTATACAAAAAAATCTTCGCAAAATGTGTAGGAAGCAGAAAACGGTACTTACCTTCGGTCTACTGCCATCCATCCCAGTAAAGATGAGCTCTAAACGCTTTGAAATACTGTTGTATGCACATAAACCACTTCGCACAATTTAAATGTTCCGGATAGCGACTGTACTGTCCTCTGCCACCAGATGAACAATGAGAAATCTGACCACTGCTAAATTCTGCAAAATGGAATTTAACGAAACAGACAGATGGCAGTGTTACTTTAATATATGCCAGTTTGTTGGGCGAAAATTTGCAGCATGGATATATCCAGCCCTCTAAACCTCGAAATAAACTGTAGTATGACCAAGAGCATTAACTAGTCGGAGGCAGACAATCAGGCTTGACAAAACAGAATTTACGAAGAAATGTAGACGAATTACACGTCACTTGTCACCTCTTCACTAGATGCTCATTTAAGGTGTCCGAAAATCCCAGTTACAAAAAGGCAGCACCACGTGGAGTATCTGCATTTAAAGTATTCACATGGTTTGTATGAATATCTTCTCTTGCAACCTGCTCCATAATGTTGAATAACCGCGTCTCACATATTATCTCAGTTGTTTTCCTGGTGATAAAAATGGACAAAAAGTCTACTTCAAAAACCCCACTCACCTGCATGCAAAACAGATCCTGTAAAAAGGGCCTTTAGACGTGAGGAGCGCCATTTATATACCTCTAGCTAAAGAACCATATCATTAATATTTAAAGTTATAACAGATGATAAACAGTGCTGGTACGGTGGTTAGGACTCTTGCCAACCATGCACATGGTCCGGGGTTCAATCGCCGTCCGAAGCACACCTGATATAGATGATCGGCCTGCGAAATTTGGGCTATCGATATCATTTACTGAAAACTCCACCCCTGTACCAAAAGCACTGTCTGTAATCAGGCTACGATCAAAAAAATCGTGACCTACTGTCTTCCACCGTTTGAAAATGTTCCAAAACTGCTGCCAATAATTTTATAATGAAAACAGGAGAAAAAGATAGCGAAGTAACACGGCACACTTTGTAAAAAATATTACTACTTCAGCTGATGCAGGACAGTTTAATGAAATACTTGCAGACATTGCACATAGAATAATTGCCTCGAAACAAAGCAAAATAAAAATTCTGCACTGTTTATAATGAACTTTTAGGATAAAGGTTTTGTTATTACTGATTCCGAAAGACAACACCGTCATAAACTGTGACTGAGCTGTTCTTCTTTTCGTTGAATATAAAAGAAAAAATCGTAAATTAACTTGGTTTGTTAACAAAATGAAACTTTAGTCATTATGCTTTCTTGTGAAGGTTTATTTTTCACTCTCAAACATTTTCTTCGTTTGATTATAGCAATAACCACTTTTATTGAAGCGAAATGTTTGATACGTTGATTATTTAGCAAGCGGACAAGTCTTTGTTTCAAGGATATTCGGAGGCGCGTAAAGCATTACTACCACAAAATATATCTAATCTGCATCGAGTAACAACAAGACACTACTAATTCCATTCAAACAATAGGGCTGCTTGGCCTTCTGAAGCTGAATATCCGCAAAATTGGAGGTCTGCAGTATAACTGCTTGGTTTATTTCTTAGACAGAGCAATTTCTCATAGTCTTAAACATTCCTACTTTCAATATAACTCAATTTACAGGTGTCTGAACTTTCGGCCTGGCGGTATCATTGAAGTCTGCAGGTCCACGAGTCACTGAATGCAACAGTGGTATCGTCAAATTTTGTTCTGAACTAGAAGTTTAACAACATGCGCTACCTCCATCAATATCATATTCAACTTCTGAATCGCCGTCAAAAGGACGTTACAGAATAATATATTTGAAATGTAAATACTGTATGAAATTCAAAATCAATTCCAAAATTTTATGTCTGCAGTGCTGTGAATTGTGGAAATATCACCATTAAAGAATATATTTATTGGTCATTTGAAGTTAGAACACTTCGAGGTATTTGTATGAAAATAAAAATAAGGTCTACTCGTAAGAACTCGAATTATTAACCTTCTGAAACGTGCGGTACAATATCTTATAAGCAGCCTATTTTTCCACCTTCCTGATTTTAAGTTACATCACTAAACTCACCTCATTTCTTCTCAAAGTGTCAACTGCATACTGATCACAAGTTTCTCTGTGACACTTTACCAGGACTCAAATCGTTACCACTCCTCTCAGTAACCATATCAGGAAAATTTCCTGAAGCCGGGAGACAACTTTCCGAAACTTAGAATACTATTTTACGTATATAGTGAGCAGATCGGCTTCAAGGCGAGCGATATGACTTCGGTTTTTTTTTCTGAACCTTTAAATGAGTTTCTACATCTGTACTTTGACTAGCAATACCTTGTGAAGTTGTGAAATCAGAACTGGACTTTGAAACTGCAAACTTCTGCACAGGGCAAGTTATCGTCTTTAGCACACCACTAAACGACGCCTTCCAGCTACAAAAAAGACTTCTTCACTGCGTCAACATCTCCAACATGCCTTGCAGAGCAGTCAAACCATATTCTCAGTGTAGTGGACATTTTTGGACTGTGAACTAGCTGTTGAGGTAGATACCACCTTCCTTTTTCGCCTTGATTTATCATTTTGTCTGCGTTAACTTTTGTTACATGTTTACCGACGACGTTTTCGTACTTAATCCACGGATATGAATCTAGGACAAACTTCTTTCTCAGACGCATTGGTCACTTAAAAGGATTACTGAGGTTATAAATCAATCAGTCATCCCTACGTTTCCACGGTGGACGTATAGTGAATGCTCATTCATGAACACACATGACCTTCCGACGAACTTAACGGTGTCATTGTCTACAACAGTATGTGATGTATCTGGACTACCATCATCAAAAAACATATCACGAATCGAAATATCTACGTCCGCACCGTCAATTTTGACAAGGCGTGGTACATGTGATGTCAATATGAGTCATCTACTAACTGCCGACCATCACTTTGCATATTAAACACGCTCTTAGAAATCATGTATGCCTTCGAAGTCACTGGCGTAACCGCGATAAGAGTGCTGATGATTTCCAGGTAAATGCATTCAGAAGAACAGCAAGAGAAAGTCCCAGTGGTTTCTTGCAGAACAGGGAGAACGTCGAACGAGTTAATCCAGAAGAAAGTAGACCAGGAAATAAAAACAGTTCCAGTGAGACAGGAACTCAGATACCGACAGCACTAGATGAGCAGATAAGAAACAGTCAATAACAGCACCGGAAAAAACTACCGTAGCCAAAAAACAACTCTCCGGAACTCAGAATACTATTTCACATGTATAATAGGTAAATCGAATTCAACGTGAGCAGTGTTAAAAGACGATAGTATGTCGAACCCGTCCTCTTGAGACACTCAGGATCCCCCACCTGCATTGCACATATCGCCATGCACTCGTAAACTGAACGATCAACCGTCCTCAACATCTTCAATTTCTGAGAAGCTTAGCGAAAAAGATGAAGGCTTTATACACCGAAGACTCAGTCTACCGGTCAGTCTATCATCTAATTTTCATTTGATATCAGGAGAATCACAGCTGCAGCCCTTACCATCGATCAAAGGTCTTTTACTGTTTTCCTTAAAAACGTTCATTCTGTCTGTGGTGAAATTCCTTGAATTCACTCCTTCCCTTCCCTTAGCATTGTTGGTTACCGAGACCTGTTTGCCTTCTGACTTCAACGACAGACTGTTAAAATCTCCAGGATACAACCACTGTAGACTTCTCAGAGAGAAGTTTGTCGTGGTGGTTTT